AGCTGAATACAGCTCCTCAGACTGAAGAAGTCTTTCGGATGAAAGAAGAAACGTTTCTACATTATTTTGTTTTGTTTTGGGTTTTTTTGAATGTCCAGAGGACCAGACTTAACTTTTTTAGATTTAAATATAGATGTTTTTGTAGGATCTGGTTCATCAGATTTAATTCAGTTCAGTTTATTTATATAGCACCAGGTCACAACAGAAGTCGTCTCAGTGCACTGAACAGAAACATTCATATATTTTCATTCAACCTTTATTTAGACAGATAAATCACATTGAGCCTAGAAAACTCATTTACAAGTGAGACCTGTTTAGACAGACAAAAAGTAATGAAACTGGACACATGTAGGAATTGGAGGTGAAAAAAATCATGTCAGACTTTTTTTTTTCCTGCCTGAGAAGAAAAAATACTCTGATGTTAATAAACACCTCGCACAAACAAGCACATAGTGACGTAGACATTCTGCAGAGGGGGGAGCCGAGAGCGGTGAGCATGATCATAGATGCTCTTGAGGACACTGTAAGAGTTCTGATAAGAATGGAATAATCAGTCAATGTCCTCCGGTGAGATCCATAAACATTCTCGAGGTATGTCGAGAAATGGCCAAGCATAACCTCTATGAGAATCCAGAGTCCTGAAATGATGACACAAAGTTTATTCAGCAGGCTCATCTGGTTATCAAGTTGGAAATTCCTCAGGGAGGGGGTGGTGAGCGTCAGATCACATTTTCTCCAGGCGACTTTAGATAAGATGGCCTTCAAGGACAGCCAAGGCAACCAAAATTTAGATAAACACACAGTTGTTTTCGGGACAGGAAGAACTTAACATCAACCTTGAGTCTGTGTTGGTCCACTCGGTTCTGAAATGTCCAAATTAACATGGCCACACCGATGGAACGTGACTGAGTAAAAATCCCCAAGATCTGATCCATTCAGCCCAAAGCATTTGAGTCCAGGTACTCCAGACATGAACCAAGCCGTCATAAAGGCAAACAGCGGGATCGGGTCCAAATTTGCTGCTGACGACTTCCTTGATTGTAGATAAAACCAGCACCAGCTGAATCCAAAAAGCAGGAACCAGTTATTGTGAATCCAATTAAATATGTGTCCTTAAAATCCACAGATGGCAGCAGAGATAGACACATCATCAAGTTTTCCAGTCGATGAGATATCCAGCTGTGTGTGTGCCAACAGGGTAAATCGGTTCGCCCAAAGCCTGTCTTCTCTTTGAAGAAATGTTGTAAATTGAGTTGAGGGACCAACTGGTCAAAACAAGTCCATAATTATGGTTCAGAAGAAATGCAAGAGAGTCTCACAGCAATTTCACAGACAGACAGAGCAGCAAAGCAAAGAAGAGAGGGAGGGAAGGAGAGAAGCATCCGATCTCATCAAGAGAAAGTGGTGAATATATAAAATAAGTTAGCAGAAACATTCATATTTAAAAATAATAATTTAATATTATTGATCGGAGGAGCAGACTGCTTTGAGTTTAACTCATTGCAGAACTCTCATTAGCAGGACTTTTGGATTCTGGACACGCCTCCAGAATCGGTCCTAAAGTGCAGGTGCAAATCCAGGCTGAGCTGAGCCAGACTGAGCAGGTCTGAGCAGAGTCTGGGCTGATTAGGAGCAGTGCAAATGGGGCAGTGAGCTGAGAGACACCTGAAATGGTTCTTTCTCCAAATGAGCATCACCCTGTTTGTAACAACTTGTGCTTGTTTCTTCCAGACCTACCTCCAGTCAAATAGGCGTAGTAGCACTGTGACCAGCGTGACTCGTTCTTCAGTCGCTCAAACGCTCGGAAGCCATCTTCAAAATTCAGCTCTATCATGCTGCACCAACCTGACCCAAAAACAGGCAGAGAGAGGGCAAGGTGATTTCTGTGAGCTGACAGTCACCGTGTCTGAACTGACCTGACGAGGACACACATACCAATCTCATAAAGACACACATGCTGGAGCTCTCTTTGGTCTGACGCAAGCTCTAACGCATCGTGGAAGCAGGCCAAAGCACTGTTGATGTGGCACTGGGGACAGAGGAGAAAGCATCAACAGGTAACAGTGATCGTGTCAGACACAGACTGAATGTAGGACGGAGTCAGATCAATATGTGGCTGATGTAGGTGAGTAAATGTCTCATACGGAGGAGTTTCACATCATCTTGTTCAAATGTGGTCAGTTTAGTGACAAACAGCCATCGAGCCTGCTGCTGCACACACCTCCAGCCTTTGAACTCGTCCGTTGAAGAACATGAAGAGCGAGGAGTTGGGGTAAACGACTGACTTTCTCTGCAGAATAGCCTTGGCTTCCAGCAGGCCTGCGGTTGTGTCGGAGCCGTCCAGAGCAAAGAAAGGCAGCACGACGGTGTGGTACCACAAGAGGGCCAGCCTGAGCAACGAAACGAGACGTTCAGCCAGATCAGTCCACAGATTCAATCTCTGAATGGTTTCACTTAACCTTTATTAAAAATGTATTTTAGACTTAAGGTTAAAATAAAATAAACTGCAGTGTTGCTTTGAAACACCAGTTTTGAGATGATGATTTGGTTTATTTGAAGTATTTCAGCTGTTCAAACCAGAGAGAGTGTTAGTGATGTACGTTTGGCTTCTGTCCACGACATTAAACATGAAAAATTCTAGTGTTTGTTTCTCATTCGTATACAAATTTTGGGTGAAAACTTCCTCAAAAACCTTAAGTAAAAAAAAAACATTTACAAGTGGAGATAAAAAAACATGGTTTTGTTTTTTTTTGTGAGGACTCAAGATGAAGAGCTTTGAAAAACACTAACACTTTGTGACCTTACAGCCCAAACAACAACAATGGAGCCATTTTTGATTATTTTTGCTGCATTTATCTGACTTTATCTTAATCCTGTCACCAGTACACTTTGATTCTGCATCAAAACATGTACTGGTATACAGGTGCTGGTCATAAAATTAGAATATCATGAAAAAGTTGATTTATTTCAGTAATTCCATTCAAAAAGTGAAACTTGTATAATATATTCATTTATTACATACAGACTGATCTATTTCAAATGTTTATTTATTTTAATGTTGATGATTATAACTGACATCTAATGAAAACCCCAAATTCAGTATCTCAGAAAATTAGAATATTACTTAAGACCAATAAAAAAAGGACTTTTAGAAATGTTGGCCAACTGAAAAGTATGAACATGAAAAGTATGAACATGAAAAGTATGAACATGAAAAGTATGAACATGAAAAGTATGAACATGAAAAGTATGAGCATGTACAGCATCAATACTAAGTTATTGCTCCTTTTTCATTTTTTTTTTTTTTTTCATTTAGCCTTTATTTATCCAGGTAGTCTCACTGAGCCATGATAACTCATTTTCAAGAGAGACCTGTTTTAGGGAGCAGATGGTGGTTAAAGGCCCTGCTCATGGGCCCAGAGTGCCTGGATTACCGCAAGAATGTGGCGTGGCATGGAGTTGATCAGTCTGTGTCACTGCTCAGGTGTTATGAGAGCCCAGTTTGCTCTGATAGTGACATTCAGCTCTTCTGAATTGTTGGGTCTGGTGTATCACATCTTCATCTTCACAATACATCATAGATTTTCTATGGGGTTAAGGTCAGGCGAGTTTGCTGTCCAATTAACAACTGGGATATCATGGTCCTTAAACCAGGTACTGGTAGCTTTGGCACTGTGTGCAGGTGCCAAGTCCTGTTGGAAAATTAAATCTACATCTCCATAAAGTTGGTCAGCAGCAGGAAGCATGAAGTGCTCTATAACTTCCTGGTAGATGCTGTGTTGACCTTGGACCTCAGAAAACACAGTGGACCAACACCAGCCGATGACATGGCAACCCAAAACATCACCAACTGTGGAAACTTGACACCGGACCTCAAGCAACGTGGATTCTGTGCCTCTCCTCTCTTCCTCCAGACTCTGGGACTTTGATTTTAAAGGAAATGCAAATTTACTTTCAGCAGAGAACATAACTTTGGACCACTCAGCAGCAGTCCCAGGCGAGACGCTTCTGACGCTGTCTCTTGTTCAAGAGTGGCTTGACACAAAGAATGTGACGGCAGAAATCCATGTCTTGCATACATCCGAGCGTGGTGGTTCTTGAAGCACTGACTCCAGCTGCAGTTCACTCTGTGAATCCCCCCACATTTTGGAATGGGTTTTGTTTCACCATCCTCTCCAGGGTGCAATTATCCCTATTTCTTACACATTTTTTTCTACCACATCTTTTCCTTCCCTTCACCTCTCTATTAATGTGCTTGGACACAGAGCTCTGTGAACAGCCAGCCTCTTTAGAAATGACCTTTTGTGTCTTGCCCTCCTTGTGCAAGGTGTCAATTGTCTTCTTTTTTTTTTCATTTACCCTTTATGTATACAAGTAGTCTCATTGAGTCACAAGAACTCCTTTTCAAGAGAGACCTGTTTTGGGGAGCAAATGGTGGTGGGGGTGGAGGTGGGGGTTAAGGGCCTTGCTCAGGGGCCCAGAGTGGGGCATATGAGAGTGGAGGCAGGTGTGTGAGTTTCACCTTTTCCACCCACATTTTGATGTTGACGGTACCGGGAGTTGAACCTGCGACTTTCCAATCACAGGCCCACCTTCTCTAATCTCTGTGCCATCACTCCCCAGTTGTCCAAAAGACAACTGATTGACAGTTGTCTTTTGGACAACTGTCAATCAGCAGTCTTCTCCATGATTGTGTAGCCTTTAGAACTAGACTGAGAGACCATTTAAAGGCCTTTGCAGGTGTTTTGAGTTAATTAGCTGATTAGAGTGTGGCACCAGGTGTCTTCAATATTGAACCTTTTCACAATATTCTAATTTTCTGAGATACTGAATTTTGGGTTTTCATTAGTTGTCAGTTATACTCATCAACATTAAAAGAAATAAACTTTTGAAATATATCAGTCTGTGTGTAATGAATGAATATAATATACAAGTTTCATTTTTTGAATGGAATTACTGAAATAAATCAACTTTTTCATGATATTCTAGTTTTATGACCAGCACCTGTAATCTGAGAGGAAAACTTACATGGAATAAAAACAGTAAATTTGGGGAAGATATTTAGCTAAGCTAAAATCTTCATGTTGTGAATTTGGACATCCCTGCCACTAGGTGGTGCAGTATTTTGTCAGCACATATCCATCCATCCATTCAGGTTCTTTAAGGACAAAATATAGAGAAAACACTCATGCATGCTCAAGGACAATATGCAAATTCCACAAAGGAAGACCACAGCCAGCAGTCAAACCTGTAACCTTCTTCTTGTGAGGCAACAGTGCTAACCCACTGCTCCACTGTAAAGTTCTTGTTCAAATGTCAGACTTTTGTAATTCGTATAGTCTACTGCTAATATACCAATACTGTTCAGAGCAGTTTAAAGACTGCTAGTATAATTAATTAAATTAAAAAGTCAGTAGTTTTACATTAATTAACTTTGTGTGTCATATGCATCTGTCCCTGTCACAAATAAATCTGAGCCTACTCACGTAGCTAGTGGTGCCTTCATGTCCTTGCTCTCACTCGCGTACATGAGAGAGGACAGACCCTGGAGTCGGTCTCCAGGGAAACCCAGCAGGTTGATAATCTTGAGCAGGTGTGGAGGAACCATAGAGATGCACAGGTGGAAGAGGCCATAGCCGAAGCTGACGGAGCCCTTAAGCCTGTCCAGGGCCTCGGCCGTTACGCCATTCTCCACCGGAGCGTTGTGGTTGGCGTTGTCGGTTGAGACGAGCTCCTGGCTGCCAGAGGACCTCCTCTGACAGGTCTCCTGCAGCTGACTGATGTCACTGTGACATTTATTATACATCTTCCACGCCTTACGGAGAATCCAGCCTCCTTTGATATATGCTGTCGTAGAAAAATAAAGAACATTTTGTTGGTTTTTGTCACAGAAATGTTTTGAAGTAGATGTTTCCCTCTTAGCAAAGAAGGAAATGTTTATCTTTGTGTTTCTATACATTATCCATGTGCTGCGCCAATAACCTGTGAAGGTGTAACATACTTGTTGTTCAGTTTGGATGGCTGCAGCCATGGATGGCTGAAGGAAGGAATACAGTAGATCACCCAGTTCCTTTCATGCCAGACTAAGATCATCTCATGCTAAGCAGAGACAATGGCAGTAGGTTATATGTTCCTGGCTGGAGTATGAGTTAGGAACAACTCTCAGCTACAACCACACCAAATTTTAGGTCAGTTTCTGTAAATTTGACCAAATCACAGTCTTTTTGTGTTGGCAAAGGGCAGTTTACTGTGACAGCCATTTTGAATGGGGTAGCTGCATATTCTGATAGTTTCATTAAAACAGTTGTGCATGAGAGACAAACCAACACGCACACACGGGCAAAAACATCATCGCCCTTCTGCTTTCAGCTGCAAATAATAACTAGAGAAATGGCATTACAAAAATGAGTGTGGAGAACTTGCTGAAAAACAGCTGAAATTAGCTAAAAAAAATCATGCTGAAATGTAGCTGAAATGGGAAAACAAGCCTTAATTAGCAGAAGAAAGCAGAAAGAACACTTTTTTTTTGCTGAATTACGTATAAATTAGCAGAAATTAGTATAAAAATAAGGAAATTAGCTAAAAAAAAAGTTGAATTTAGAAAAAAATAGCTGAAAAGTAGCTGAAAAGGCAGACAGAAGCTAAACTACCAGAGGGAAATGGAATGTTGAAATGAGCTCAAGAAGTGTGAAATTAGCTATAAAGGCTAAAATTTGCATAAAACAACTAAATAGTAGCTGAAATTAAAAAAGCTGAAACTAGCAGAAAGAAGCTGAAAAGAGCATAACAAGCTGAAATTAGCAGTAAGTAGTTAATTAGGCTGAAAGTAGCAGAAACTACCACGAAAAACTTGAATTTATATGAAAACAGCTGAAATTAGCTAAAAAATGCTAACAAAGGTAGCTGAAAGGGTAGAACAAGCTTTTATTAGCAGAAGAAAGCAGAAAGAACACATTTGATGAGAAAAGCAGAAATGAGCACAAAGTGGAAATTATCTGAAAAAAATCTGAACTTAGCAAAAAAACAGCTGAAAAGTAGCTATCAAAGCAGAAGGAAGCTTAAATTACCAGAAGGAAGTGGAGAGAACACATTTTTGCTGAATGATGTTGCAAAAAGTTGAAATGATTGTAAAAAATGCAGAATCAGCTGAAAAAGCTAAAATTAGCATAAAGCTGCTAAATAGTAGCTGAAATAGCTGAAACTTGCAGAAATAAGCTGAAAGGAGCATAACAAGCTGAAATTAGTACAAAGAAGTTAGAAGAAGCACAAAAATGTTGTATGGTAGTTAGCAGAAAGAATCAGAAAGGAATGCAAAACAGCTGGAGAAAACAGCTGAAATTAGCTAAAAAAACTGAAAAAAGTTTCAGTTTGCACAGAAAAGCTGAAAGAAGATGAAGCAGAACAAAATGTGAAAGGCGCAGTAAAAGGTTGTAAACATATCTAAAGATTTGAAGGATGTAAAATGAGCTCAATTCATTTTCTGAGGAAAAACGTGGCAAAAAAGGCTAAATATTTCAAAAAGCTAAATCTGCTCCAATACCAAAAGTCATAGCAGGATTGTCCTGAAGGAGCTGAACGTTTTGATTTATGATTTGTTGAAATAGCTGAAAACTGCGGGACGAGAAAGATGCTGAAAAACCGTACAGAAGAAAAATGGATGAAAACAGAGTGAATGCTTCCTAAACATTCAGAGAAGAAAAAGATCTGAGATTTCTTGTTTCACTGCACCACAGCCCAACGCACACGTCTCAATAAACATTAGAACAACCTTTAATTAGAGAGATAAACTCCTGGTCTGCTCTGTTGGATCATGTGATCAGCGTCAGGATCGTTTACCTGAGATTTCCTGTTTGACGAACGACAGAACAGCGAGATACACCTGACAGTCAGCAACAATGATCTGCCTCTGCAGGCGGTCCACCACCACCACGCCGGACCTTTGGGAGTCCATCTGTAACACACACACACACACCCAGAGCATCCGTCAACAGCGTTCAGTTGGATGTTGAAGCTCCAGTCCCCAGTGGGTGAGAGGTAGAACATTAAAGAGTCTTCTGAAGCATTTAAAGCTGCAGGCAGCTCCAAGACTACATCTAGTTTGTTGATTGAATTTGAGGGAGGATCTAATTGAATCTGTGTGGTGGTTTGGCATGATCTCACTGCATCGTTACACCCAGTGGTGAGCATCTTAATATGATTATCTAACCTGGAGCCTGTTCTGGCTGAGAGGTTTAAAAACACACACACTGGAATCCAACAAGCTGTGAAAACTGGCTTCAGCTACGTTTCTGGGATTGATCAGAACCTCTTCTCCACGCCACAGAACAGTTTTTATTTCTTGTGATCTGCACTTACACTCTTCTTAATCTTGTTCCGGATCGTCTCTAGCACTCCAGCACTGTCACTCTCACACAGTTTCTCAGTGGTCCTCAGGTCATCACAGGCCATCTGCATCTTCTCCTCCTCAAACGTCATCATGGCGTTCTGCAGAGAAATACAGAAAAAATAGTCTTGGTTGTTGTTAGAGGCACATCGATTGGTTTGTGACACTTCGGTCTGAAGCATCAACCTCACAATTAGCTGACAGCCCTAAAAAAAACCCACAAAGACATGAATGGAGAAACAGTGATGTGTGGACAGTGTGCAAAATACTCCCTGCAGACAGAAGCAGAAAATCTTTGCAGCGCTGATGCTCAGATCCAGCAGAAACATCACATCAAGTCATGCAGAAGTCTTCAAATGTATAAAATCTGTCTTGTGTCTGGATGTGTGAAATACATGCTGCTCTGAGATAAATGATTTAATGTAACCACCATCAGGTGCATTTAGTGTTGAGGGCCAGGATGATGTCATGATGTGTGAGGGTCAACATGACACGGTGTGTGTGAAACCATCACGTCATGAATCATCTGCCTCCCTACAGCCACAGCCTTTCAGTGTTTCTGTTTGACTAATGCTGTTCCTGAGAGGTAACTGCATCCATTATGTTAATGGGTGCAAAAGCAACACAAAGGAGAGCTCGTCAGCACATGGTGACAATGATGCAGCTTGTCTGACACATTACATCACCTCAGGTCGCATCATCTAACACAGATTCTGAGTCCTGTCGGCGACTCACCAAAAAACTGACGAAGCTTGCCCCAAAGCTCATCAACGGGCTCTGCGTCCTACAGAAAGAACAGAAATATGAACAAAAACTAGGTGTTTGTTTTTTAAAGGACTGTGCAGTAAGAGGAAAACATGTTTTATACACACATCGTGTTAGTCTTTTTTATTTTAAAAAATGCATGTGGACATAAAATAATTTTCTAAACTGCTCTTGGGAAGCCATGAAGCTCAAAACTCTTATAAAAACCCACCTTTTGGTATTCGTTTCATGACTAGGCCTGTCACGATAACAAATCTTGCTGGGCGATTAATCGTCTCAGAAATTATTGCGATAAACAATAATATTGTTTGAAATTTGACAATAATTAGTAGTTATTGTCAAACTTAAGAAGAAATGTTGATTTGTTTTGCATATAGTACCATTTTTGACCACCGGATGGCAGTATAAGACTGTTTGAACCAAAGGATGGATAGTGAGGGAGCAAGCAGCGTGTCTCTTCATGAAAAATGGGAGGGAAGCCCCTTGACGTGACATGGGCTGTCTCACGCCTGTTTTTCCGTTCTCAAAATGGCGGACACTCAGTGTGATTTGAGCTCTTTAGCATAGCATTTTCCACACAAAGCTTTTAATAAAAAAAAATTAGTAAACAAGTTCTCAGCTTCCTTTTGCAGAGAAAAACAACTTTTTACACAAAAGGCACGGGTTTCAACTGTGAATTTTGGATCTTCGACAAGACAGAGGTCGGTCCCGAGGTCGGCCTGTTAGCTTAGCTCGTAGCTTAAATTCTCAGCTTAGCAGCTTTTAACGATCCAAAAACACGATTTTGGATCGTTAAAACAGACTTTAAAGAGAAAAGGAGGGGTCAGTGAAGATCATCAGAGTTGAACCTTTTGTCATCCAGTGTCTTCAGTAGAACGAGAAAGACACAAAGAAACGCTGATAAATGAAAACGAGGTTGATACTTTTCATTTATCATGCGATTAATTGATTTATTGTTTATCGCAACAGGTCTATTCATGACCTCTATTGTTTTCCTTTCATATTTGTGACAACATGAAAAAAGTTGGTTGCAGGTTTTCACATTTTATTATCAGTTTGAACATTTATGTACAAAATTAATTGTGGACTCCTAAACACACACTATATTTTAAATGTTAGTAATGCTGGATTTATTTGTCAGTGTTAAAGTAATATGTAAAATTAAACTAAAAAAGTTATTTCAAACCATTTTTTTCCTGCGGAAACTATCACTGTTGGCTAAAAATAAACATTTATTTGGTAATATATTTTTTTTTAAAAAACAACTAGCAGCTGAGAGAGCAATAGATTTACATAAATGTTAATACAGCTTGTCAGGATTTTGTGGCAAAAGAGGACCCATGGATGCAGAGTCACATATGAGCTAAAAGAAAGGAGATGTTTAATATTTCAAAAGGCTGACATGGCAGAAAAAAACAAAACAAGCATAATAAATATAAAAACAGTGACAGGGCAGTGAGACTGTGGGGCTCAGACAGGAGTGAGGACCAGGAGTTGACCAGTGATGAGGTAAGTGGTGACAGCTGAGCTGAATGAGTACAGGAAGCAGGTGTGGTGCACAACAGAGACAATGACAGAGAGGGAAATGGCTGCTGACACAAGAATACACTGAAAAACTAAACAAAAGGAAAGTCAATATTTAAATAAGGAAGCAGAAAAATATGACAAAGCAAACTAAATCCACAACAACAAAACAAACAAACAAATCTATTTAAGAAAACACAAAGCAGGTTCATGGCATAACTTAAAAACAGGTGGAATGATGTAAAATTACAGAAAGTGCCAAAACGCAGTACATACATAGATGTTGTCCTCTATGCTATCATTTTGCTACTTTTAGCTTTTAGCTAGCCTTTTGCTACTTGGAATTTTTAGTTACCATGTTGCTACCTTTAGTTTTTCACAGATCTTTTAATAAGTTTGGCTTTAAGCTTGCATTTTGATGCACTTTTAGATAAAGTTCTGCTTGAAGCTAACACTTATCTATAAAAAGTGTTCTGTTTCTTTGAGATGTAATAAATCTGTATTCAAGCTGCATTTTCAGTTTCTCCATGGCTTGATTTTTATTTTTGTTATTCAGTGTCAAATGTAACTTCAGCCTCAGACTGTAGGTGTGGGTCAGCAACAGCTGGGGGCCACACACCCTGTCTACACTGCTCCACAGGCTCTGAGGGACACTTTCAACAAACCAGTGATTTCAGCTGCTCTGAGTCTGAGGCAGCCATAATGACTCAGGACATGCTGTTCTCGCTTCAGCCTCCTGGAGATGTTTTGGAGATGAAGGCCCTGCATCACCTGTATCTCTTGAACAGCTCGTCGCTCTCCTTGAAGCCGTTGTTGAGAAGCATGTTGATGCCCTGCAGAGCCATCTCAGCATCATCTAAAGGCTCTGCCTTCTCCTCCACCTGCTGCTGCTGCTGCTGCTGGCACTGTCCGGGCCCCGCCATCACTCCGACCGGAGCGCTCGCGCTGCCGGATCGAACAGCTGAAGGAAAGATCTGATTCCGTGTCCTGTCTGAGACCAACCCGCATTGGTTTCTGTCCACTGATGTGAGCAGCCGATCCAAACAGGGATGCGCCTCTGCTCGGCCGCAGAAACAGAAGAAAAAACGCTCGGGGCGTGTGCACCCCTCGAGCCGCTGCAGCCGGGACGCGCAAAGATTAAAAATGTGCCTTTAACCCCCACCAGCTGCCACCCACACCGTTATTTACCACAGGAGCCGTCATTTGTCCTCCTCCTGCTTTGATCCGTGCAGCAGCAGCAGCTCGTGCCTTACATAACCGGCTGCTCTGCCAGACGCACGCGTTTCCAACGTCATGACGCACACCGAGCGCACACCTCCGGGAGGATGGGAGGGAGGAGATCAGCTGATGAGATGCTGGATCCTGTCATCATCCATCACTCAAGACTTCCTCTGTACACGCGCACAGGAAAAGGAAGAAGTTTTCCATCTGTCACTGCGAATATGAACAGCTCACATGAAGCAAGGACTCACAACCATGATGCTTGCAAATAATAAGAATAAAAAATGTGTTTTCATTTAAAACACTTTCATGCATAGCAGTGACTGCAGTGGACAGTCATATTCTTGCATATGTATGGGTTTTTGTGCATGTTGAGCAGTGTCAAAATATTTCATATGTTCATTCATTCACCCTTTATTTAGACAGGTAAATCCCATTGATCCTCGAGGACTCATTTACAAGAGAGACCTGATTTCAACAAAGAAGTTCACATTATAACATGCAGTATTTCATTTGTAAAACATATGCTGTCCAGCTGAGAGGACATGTGGAAAAGTTCTTGAATAAATACAATTTTTATAAGAAAAATTTTCTCACCCTTTTTTATGCCCCAAGAAAAATAAAAACTCAGGTGGAAAAAAAGCGTCCCAGTAACATTTTTAATGTGGGTTAAAAGACACATCTTCAAAAACAACACCAAGTTTCTTTACATTAATTAATGTTATTCAGAGTATAGTTATTGCAGATTTGTACACAGAGTTGCATTCTAATGCAAATAAACCGTTTAATTTATGCATAACTTATGATATCTTCATCCAGGATTTTTTTGTGTGCACTAAAATTAGAGGCATCTTGTCCCAAAATGATGCAGGAAACCTGCTCCATACATTTGTCACTTCTAGACTTGATCCTTCTTCTGGGTGTTTAAAAACATTTAAAAAGTCTGCAGTTGATCCAAAATGCTGCTGCTAGAGATTCAAAAGGAGAGATCATGTTTCTCCAGTTTTATCTTCTCTCCACTGACTCCCTGTCCAAATCAGATTATTATTGAAAAGCTTTATTAAAAACATACAAAGCTCGCAACAAGCAAACTCAATCTAACATTAAAGATCATAATGTTCCATATTTTCCAAACAATTCAATTCAGTTTATTTATATAGCGCCAAGTCACAACACAAGTCACCTGAGGGCACTGTTCACATTCACATACTGTAATGATCACAAGGAGCCCAGATAATATGAGCTGAAGTGAGACAGACTCCAAGATGGAGAAAGATTAACAGTGATTTATTTACAGTGGTTTGTATGCAAGAGCACTCTGGAACCCTGGGGAGTAAGGAGAGAGGTCAGGTTCTTCGCTCTGGTAGATGGGTTCATGTATTTTCTTTCCTCACAGTTGGTAGGAAGGTGTAGAGAAGATGCTCTGAAGGAGTTCCAGTTTGAAGGAAGACGATGAAGAAGACGTGGCAGGCAAATAAGCAGCTGGTCCATAAGGTTGCCAGCCTTGGTCAGGGAGATCAGGATCCAAAGAGCCTCGAGCATGGACATCAAAATGCTCCAGCGGAGAGTAGAGCTCCTCTGCAGCCATAAGTACACCAGCTTGACTCCTCACCAGGGGAATGGGTCACAGGTGTGCTCGTTAAACGCCATCTTGGAAACGCTGCAGCTGAAGAAGGCTTTAAATGGATGGATGGCTTTAAACTTCTTAAGTTTCAATGAAAAGAAGTCTGAAGTCATGTTGTTCCCTCCCAACGACACGAACACAAACCACTGTATCAACCTCTCTGCTCTGCCCCTGTCAGAAAAGCAAAGAGTCACTAATCTGGGAGTGATAATGGACCCTTCCCTGAAACTTAACAATGTAACATGTAAACATGATTGTTAAATCATGCTTCTTCCAACTGAGGAGGCTGTCTAAACTGAAGCCCATATTGTCCAAAAATAACCTGGAGACAGTAATACATGCATTCATTACATCTAGGCTTGATTACTGCAATTCGCTCCTGTTTGGTATCAGTCAGACCTCCATTGCACGACTACAACTGGTACAGAATGCAGCAGCCCGATTTTTAACCAGTACAGGCAAATGAGTGCACATTACACCAGTTTTGGCCTCACTGCACTGGTTACCGGTTCACCTTCGAATCCAGTTCAAAATACTCATGTATGGCTACAAATCGCTGAACAGTTACCCCCCCCCCCCCCCCCCCCCCCATCTCTCTGATCTGCTACAACCGTATGTCCCATGTTCCCTGTGATCAGCGGACCAGTTGATCCTCACAGTTCCAGGAACTCGTCTTAAGCGCAGAGGTGACAGGGCCTTCTCTGTAGCAGGACCAAGACTTTGGAACGAGTTACCTCTGCTTGTCAGACAGGCCCCCTCCCTCTCTGTTTTCAAGACCCGTTAAAAACTCACTACTATTCAGTAGCTTTTAACACCAGATGATCTGTGTTTTGATCATGTATGCTCCACACTGGTTAGTCGTCATTATCTGCATCGTTTTTATGTCTATATGTCTGATTTACTTCATTTTGTATATTGCTTTGTGTGTTACCTGTTGTTTTGTCTGTACAGCACTTTGGTTGGCCTTGTCGCTGGTTTAAGTGCTTTATAAATAAAGTGGTATGGTAAGGCTGAACTCTCACACGTACTTTGTACATTATAAAAGCCAATTAGTAAACGTTCTCTAAGGAAACCAGCAGATTGTGTTGAATATTCACTTCATCACAGTCTCCTATCCTGAGCAAGAACAAAGGAGACAGTGGAAAGAAAAAACTCCTTTTTAACAGGAAGAAACCTCCAGCAGAACCAGGCTCAGGACAAGCAGACATCTGTTTCGACTGCCTGGGGTTTGAGAGGACAGGAAGGAGAAAGAAACACAGAATGACAGGTCCAGATGAACTTTCTATAGGAAGAAAGACAACAATAAAACATGTTAAGAAAAATAATTACAAGCAGGTATAGAGAAAGTAAAGACAGCAGCAGAGTGAGGAGATGTGGTCAATTTGTCCTCCAGCAGTCTAAGCAGGGATAGCTCTGGAAACCCAGGCTGACCTGAAATATAGGATTTATCAAAAAGGAAAGACTTAAGCCTAATCTGAAGGAGTCAGCCTCACGGACAGAAACTGGAAGTTTGGTTCCATAAGAGAGGAGCCTGATAACTGAAAGATCTTCCTCCCATTCTGCTTTAGGAAACTCTAGGAACCACAAGTAAACCTTCAGTCTGAGAGTGAAGTACTCTGTTAGGAAGCACAAGCTCCCAGACTGCAGGTTTACTAGTGGTTACTAGTTGTATGTAAAAACTAGTGGTTACTAGTTGTATGTAAAAACTAGTGGTTACTAGTGGTATGTAAAAAGAGAAAAGCCGTCTCTTAACTGAGGAGGAGGACTCAGATTTCCACTTTCAAAAACATATAATGCAACTTTAAAACAGATCCCCAGCCGGTTTTCACACTTGATGGGAACAGAGGGGCCTCGTCTGTGAATTAGATGAACAAAGACCTACTGTTAAGGTGTTTAGGTGTGAACTGCCAATCTACATATGTGTGTGTGTGTGTGTGTGTGTCTTATCTCACTCAGCCTTATAACCTGAATCTCTCACTCTCTGCTCTTTGAATTGAGAAAGCTCCTCGGAGCGAAACGTCTTCTGTTACAAATAAAGTCCAGTTGTTTTTGTATTGAACGCTTTTTGAATTCATCATGTCCTGGATGACTGAGAATCTTCACCAGCAAGTGGTTACTAGAGTTTCCAAAAGTAGAACAGGAGGCAGAACTTTCAGGCTCCTCTCTTGTGGAGAGGAGAAAGTTCTCACTGCTCAAGTTATTTATTTTCTGTTATCAGATCATGCAGCACCTTGCAGACAAAACAAGGGATCAGTGACGTTCACTGACTATTTAGAAAATATTTTTAGAAAATTAGAACATGTCTTTCAGATGTCTATGGATATTTAAATGATCCACTACATATTGTGCCTTTTTCCCTTACTGGTTATTTACAGGTCAAGGTTGTAGTCAAAAACTTCGCAGTGGTTAGGCACAAACCTGATTAACTGTTAAAGAAATAATACTTCAATAAACATTTTAGATAACTGTCCTGTTAGTGCCTCTGCCTTTGATCTACGCCTAAAACCTTTCCCCGTTTCATACAAGAAAGACCTTTGACCCTGCTGGACTGGACCTGTGATTCTGCATGTTGCCCTACAGTAAAATCAGCAGGTTCAGTGGGAGGTGGCGCTTCAGTTCCTGCTGCTGAACTGGTTACACTGAAAGCAGAGTGCAGAGTATATTTCACCTGTTCAGTAAAAACAGCCATGAAGCCCGGCTCACATGTTGGCGCAGTTAAGAGTAGTCGAGTACTGGTCGGTGATGAAGTGGGTCCTGCGGTCGTCATCATAAAAGATGGAAAAATACAGCAAATACTCTCTTCACACAACGTTACCCAGGATGTTGGCTGTGAGGTAAGCTGGTGGTCGGTGCTCTGAGTTCCTGTGATGTAGAGGAGCAGGTGAATTGATGCGGTGCTCCTGAGGATGTATTTTTGCTTTGGAGGGTGGATGGAGTTGTCCTGACAGCTCGCTGTGACCGCAGGTGCTGGATGTGGGTGACAGCGTGGTCATGCCAGGTGTTGTGGATTGTCACGTCCACGTGAACGAGCCAGGACGCACCTCATGGGAGGGTTTCTGCTCCGCCACAAAGGCCGCCGCTGCAGGTGGAGTGACGACCATCGTGGACATGCCCCTGTGAGTTTTTAACCCCAGGATCAGTCAGAGTCCGCTGTCTGCAGGGCAAACAGATTGGGAAATACAAGTAAATAAAGGTTCAAAAGTCAGAACGTGTTGAAGGTTAAAAAACTAAAGGGTCTGACTATTTTCTGTCAGAAAAACCAAAAACTGAGTTGTGATTGATGGGATAAAAAAAAGCCTTAGAGATTGAGAAATGTCATCCATTTGCTCTCATCAGGTCGCCCCTTTAACATTTTATTTTATCATCAACGTGATTTTGTTTATGTCAACCACTCAGTCAGTTCGTTTAGTCACTAAATCTGAGCTAATGATTTGTCTGATGATTTGAAACAGTGAACTCTGCCAACTTGGCCAGCCACCTTTGTCATCTGGACTTTAAATAGTCTGTGGTCATTGAACACACCACCACAACCTCCCAACACAAGTTTTTCACATGCTCAAAACCAGTTTGGTTCTGTCACCCTTTCTCACTCATAATGTGTTCCTAAACACCCTGTAGACCTCATCAAGGCCCTGCAAAGACATCCACAGAATGTGCTTTTACTTCTTTTCAGAGATTCTAATGAAACAAGTGTACATACGTAACAATGTTCAGTCAGGGGCCCACCCTCTCCCCGTCAACGACTCTGAGGCAGTCATGCTAAAATGGTTCAAAACACCAAAGTTCATGCTCAGTAATCCAGGTACAAATCCAGCAATGTTCAGTCAGGTCATCTGGACGGTTTCTTTTTTTTGCTGATACATCCCACAAATTTGTTTTTCCTACTATGGGAGTGTAGTATTTGTGGGACTCCAGGTTGTTTGTGGCTCCTCAGACTGAAGAAGTCCTTCGGATGAAGGATGAAATGTCTCAGCAAAAGAAAAAAGAAACCGTCCAGATGACCAGACTGCAGATTGCTGGATTTGTCCCTGGATTATTGAGCATTTGGTGAACTATGTACATTTTCATTGATGCCATGTGTATAAAACAACAACATAAAAGATGTCTGCTTTTCCAAAAGCATCAGTCAGTGACGATCTTAAAAATGACACAATAATACTGCAGTTGGACAGTTTTTAGGAAACATTTGGTTTCACCTTCAGGAACAGCATCCCTCCGACCACGACTCTGAGGAATTTCCATGAGAAGCTGAAAGAAGCCACAGGGAACTGTTTTGTGGATGTAGCTTTCTGGGGAGGTGTGGTTCCTGGAAATCAGGTACACTGGGCCAAGTTTAATAAAATTAACATTAATATACGTACAGTATGTTTATACTAGAAGTTGACCAAACAAACAATCCATGTCTTCTCCCAGCATGAACTGCAGCCCATGATCCAGGCCGGGGTGGCTGGCTTCAAGTGTTTCCTCATCCATAGCGGTGTGGATGAGTTTCCACACGTGACTGACTCTGATCTGCACACGGCCATGAAGCAGCTACAAGGCACAGGAAGCGTCTTGCTGGTAACTTGTTTACTGCAAAACCTTTCACAGCATCGGCTGCAGTCAAACATTTCCCTGCACTAACAACAGTTGTGATAAATGGCAGCGAGCAGAGTGTTTTGTGCTACTCACCCTTTTTCAGCACGATGGAGCAAACCAACAACATCCTAGGTCCTAAGGAACATTGCTGCATTCACCAGTTTGGATGTAATGCACAATAAATGCAGCTGAGCCCAGCTTCAGGGTTGCCAGATAAACATGAATACATTTTCGGTGCAGTAGTAGCTGAACACCATCCCCAACATAAACTCTGAGTGCTACATGTTCTGCAACAATGCTTAAAACACTGGAAGGCAGTCATATCTGTCTGTTAGCAAAATATCTCATGAACCATCAAACAAATTTTATGCAAGTTCTCAGAAAGTAATCAATTGATGTGCATACATCTACAAAATAACAGTTTTTAGAGGTGATCTAATTCAAGATGGTGCCACAACTGATCAGCTTTAGCCAACACAAAAATGCTTACAGCCCAGTCAGTTATTGTGACAAATCTTACATAATCTCTGTAATTTCTCAACATAAAACGATCGTAGTCTAAAACTCAGGCACGAAAAATGGTGGGCAATGCATTATGCATTATGTCTAAGAATCTCTCAATCCCCAGGTCTCTCTTGTAAATGAGTCCCCAAGGCTCAATGGGATTAACCTGTATAAATAAAGGTTGAATGAAAAGAATACTAAGCCTTTAATTAATTTACATATAAATAATAATAATTGTTTTTATCATGCATGTATAACTCCTACAAATATTCTAAGTTGTTCTATCATGTTATCGCTGGTGGAGTCCAGATGATGTCCTGCTGATGATGACCACCAACAGGAAGAGGATTTTCTCTGTCGTGTTGTTTTGGCTTTGTCTACATATTGTATATCAGAGGTTGATTTTCTGGTTGGGCTGCTTGAAGCAAATCTCAATCTCAGATTATTCTACAAGGATAGCCATGTTTGTTCACCAGCCCTGGTGTCACATCAACTTAATCTAATTCTCAAATGTATAAAAATAAAAATAAAAAACACTGTTAGTTCCATAATCCTTGTCACACCAATTGGTTGATCCTTACAAAAACTTTGATAACTGACATATGAATTGTATAAATCATTGTTTGGGTAAAAAAAATAGAGTTTTATACTTTGTAGTTAAATGACATCACTTGGTCAGTTCATTATTAAACATCTAGTGTTACATGTGCTGACAACTTTTCCTTTTGTCTTCTCCAGTTTCATGCAGAAAAGGATGTTCAACAAACAACAGCAGAGACTGGTGGTAACAGTTAAATTTTATTATATGTTGTTTTTAAATAATATATTAGGCTTAGTAAACTGAATTTAAAAACATTTTTTAGGCCAAAATGTGCCACTATTGGGACTTTCAGCTTTGACTGGATTGGGTTCAGTCACCCTTAAAATTTTGGAAAACTACTTTCAAAACCAAATATTTTTGAGTGTCTTTGCTTAAATTTTAGGGGTAAAAACTGCAACATTGACGTAAAGGTTGATATGTACAGTAAATATTTTAAATAAAGTAAAAACATGAGAAGAGTTTAGCTTTATGGCATTTTTTAAAACAATTTCTCTCCTTTATTTACGACAGACCCTTGCAAGTACTCAACCTTTCTGCATTCCAGGCCTGATATCATGGAGATGGAAGCTATTCGCACAGTCACAGAACTCTGTCTGCAGTACCAGTGAGAAGACTAGTTATTACATCCCATAATACTATCAATACGTGAGTCGTGTTTGTTGTAGCAAGAGTAACCTTCCTGTTCTCCAGGGTGCGATGCCACATCGTTCACTTGTCCTCTGCGAAGCCGCTGAAACTGATCCAGGAAGCTCGGCAAGCTGGAGCCCCCCTGACAGTGGAGACTACCCATCATTACCTCAGCCTGTGTGCAGAAAATATACCTGCAGGGGCCACACAATTCAAATGCTGCCCCCCCATCCGTGACTTTAACAACCAGGTAAATAGACCAATGCAATGTACAATGTACAACCCCCTAATCTTAAAAAGTTGGGATTTTGAGTAAAATATAAATAAAAACAGAACACAAGGAAGTTCAAATCCCATAAGCCTGTATGTAATGCACAATAAAACATAGTGAACATATCAAATAATTGTACAATTGTTAAGTAAAAATATGTTTTTCAATAGCATCAACACATCAGAGAATTTGGGATAGTACCATGGTGCCAGTGAAACTTCCCGTCTTATTTTAACAATATCTGGGAACTGAGGAGACACAGTGCTAGAGTTTTTAAAAGGGGAATGTGGTCCCATTCTTGTCTGATAAAGGATTCTAGCTGTTGAACAGTCCTGGGTCTTGTTGGCTGAATTTATTTATTTCATGATGCATTGATTGTTTTCAGTTTGGTGGGAGGTCTGGTCTGCAGGCAGGTCAGTCCAGCTCCTGGACTCTTCTACTATGAAGCTATGTTGTTGCAATGGATGAAGTATGTTGTTTAATGTTGTCTGGTTGAAATATGCAATATTCTGAAAAAGTTCCACTATTTTTAGACACAGATTTATCACAGACTGGTGAACCTTTGCCTATTTTTTACTTCTGAGCAAATATGTCTAAAACGCTCTTTTAATACCCAGTCCCCGTACTGACCTGTTGCCAATTAATCTGTTTGGTTACATGCATGTTAGTCTGATTGGTAACTCCAAATTGTCTCTATGTGTGAGTGAGAGAGTGAATGGTTGTTTGTCTTGTTTGTCTCTATGTGTCCCTGTGATGGACTGGAGACCTGTCCAGGGTGTCCCCCACCTCTCGCACAGTGATGGCTGGTCATGGGCATCAGCGACCCCTGTGACCCAAAAAAACGAAGAAGCGGGTAAAAGATAATGGATGGATGGATGGTTACAGCTCTTTGTTGCTCTTGTATTGTCCTGTACTTTTAGTTATGTGTATATCTGCCATAAAATTCAAAATTATCCTATTTGTTCATAAAATTTTTACTTTTCTTTTTTGAAGTTTCAGCATTTAGTCCACTTCTACTTCTTTAGTCTTTTCCCTCTTCAGGGGTTGCCACAGCGAGTCATCCTCCTACAACTCCTCTGTCCTCTGCATCCTCTGTCCTCACTCCAACTACCTCCATGTCCTCTCTAGGTGCATCCATATATCTCATCTTTGGCCTTCTTCTTTGTCTTTTTCATGGCAGCTGCATTTCTAACATCCTTCTACCAGTATACCCACTGTCCCTCCTCTGGTCATGTCCAAACCATCTCAGTCTGGCCTCTCCAACTTTTCTCCCAGTTGTTCAACCTGTGCTGTACCTCTGATGATCTCATTCCTAATCTTATCCATCCTTGTCACTCCTAAGGAGAACCTCAACATCTTAATTTCTGCCACTTCCAGTTCTTTCTCCTGTCTTTTTGTCCATGTCTCTGTCTCCAGACCATACAACATAGCTGGTCTCACCACTGTCTTGTAAACTTTTCCTTTGACCATTGCTGACACCCTTTTGTCTCAAATCACTCTTTAAACTTTTCTCCATCCACTCCATCCTGCCTGGACTCTCTTCTTCATTTCTTTACCACTTTCCCCATTTTCCTGGACAGTGGACCCCAAGTACTTGAAGTCCTGCACCTTTGTGACCTCTGCTCCTTGTAGCCTCACTGTTCCACCTCCTGCCTCTCATTCACACACATGTACTCTGTCTTATTACGACTGACTTTCATTCCCCTTCTTTCAAGTGCATAAATCCACTTATTCAAGTTCTCTTCCACCTGCCCCCTGTTCTCACCACAGATCACAATATAATCTGCAAACATCATAGTCCATGGGGATTCCTGCCTGACCTCATTTGTTAGTCGGTCCATCACCAGAACAAACAAGAAGAGGCTCGGAGCTGATCCTTGATGCACTCCCACCTCCACCTTGAAGCTATCTGTCACTCCTACAGCACATCTCACCACTGTCCTGCTGTCCTCATACATGTCCTGTACCAGTCTAACATACTTCTCTGCCACTCCAGATTTTCTCATGCAATGCCAAATATCCTCCCTCAGCTCACTGTCATATGCTTTTTCTAAATCCACAAAGACAAAATGGACTTCTTTCTGACCCTCTCTGTACTTCTCCATCAGCATCCTAAAAGCAAAGATGGTATCTGTGGTGCTCTTTCTCAGCATGAAACCATATTGCTGCTCACAAATAGTCACCTCTCTTTTAAATCTAGCTTCCACAACTCTCTTCCAGATTTTCATTGTTTGACTCATTAACTTAATTCCTCTGTAGTTGCTACAACTCTGTACATCACCCTTGTTCTTTAAAATGGGCACAAACACACTTCTTTTCCATTCCTCAGAAATTTTCTCACCTTCAAAAATGCCATTGAATGATTGAGTTTTAAAAAAAAACTCACTGCCATCTCTCCAAGACATTTCCAAACCTCCACTGGTATGTCATCAGGTCCTACTGTCTTCCCCTTCTTCATTCTTTTCAGAGCATTCCGGACTTCACCCTCACTAATCTTTCCCACTTCCTGGTCCACAGTTTCTATGGCCTCTACTCCTCTTTCCTTTTCATTCTCTTCATTCATTAGCTCCTGAAATTACTCCTTCCATCTTCCCATCACACTCTCCTCACTTATTAGAACATTACCATTCTTATCTTTAACAAGCCTAATATGTTGCACATTCTTTCCAGCCTGATCCTTCTGTCTCTCCAATCGGTACAAATCCTTCTTGCCCTCTTTAGTGTCCAGCCTTCTATATACCTTCTGTGTTGCCTTAGCTACCTCACTCTTGGTTCTACATTGCATCTCCTTATATTCCTGTCTCCTTCCTCCAGTCCTCTCACTGTCGTATTTCTTGACTAACCTGTTTCTTTGAATAGCTTTTTGCACTTCACTATTCCACCACCACGTTTGGTCCAGAGGACCAGATTGAACTTTTTTGGATTTTTCTACCTGGATTATTGAGCATGCATCAGGACACCACCAGGTTTCCTTACCATCCATTCTCTGTCCCGATGACACACCAAGTACCTTCCTACCTGTCTTTCTATTACTGTTGTTGTAGTAGCCCATTCATCTGGAAACTGTTTCTTACCACCCAGAGCCTTTAACGTTCCTCTCTGAATTTCTCACAACATTCTTCTTTTCCCAGCTTCTACCATTTGGTATTCTTCTCTGATTTTACTCTTTTTCTCTTCTTCACAATAACAGTCATTCTACACACAACCATCTAATGCTGTATGACCATGCTCTCCCCTGCCACAACCGTACAGTCTCCAATCTCCCTCAGGTTTCCTCTTCTACACAGAATGTAGTCAACCTGCGTACTCCTTCCTCCACTCTTATAGGCCACTCTATGTTCCTCCCTCTTTTGGAAACAAGCATTGACTACAGCCATTTCCATTCTCTTGTCAAAATCCACCACCATCTGTCCTTCCTGGTTTCTTTCCTTGACACCAAACCTACCCATCACTTCCTCATTCCCTCTGTTTCCTTCACCAACATGTCCATTCAGGTCTTCTCCAATCACCACTGTCTCCTCCCTGGGAATGCTCTCTATCACTTCATCCAGATCTTTCCAAAATGTATCTTTCTCCTCCACATCACATCCAACTTGTGAAGCATAATCACTGACAACATTTAGCATCAGACCTTCTACTTCTACCTTCAGACACATCACCCTATCTGACACTATTTTCACCTCTACTACTCTCTCTCCTTCAGGTTGTAGGTCCCGCTCCTTTTGGAGCACCTCTACTATATGCTTTTCCAACTCCTCCATCAGGACCACCCCTACTCCATTTCTCTTTCTATCCACACCATGGTAAAACAGTTTGAAACCTGCTTCAATGCTGTGGCCTTGCTGCCCTTTCACTTGGTCTCTTGGACACATAAAACATCTTCCTTCCTTCTCTGCATCATGACAGCCAACCTTTGCCTGTCATTGTCCCCACATTTAGAGTTGCAACCCTCAGTCCTACATTCTTGACTTTCCTCTTCGTCCTCTGTCTCCTGACACGTTTCCCTCCTTGTGATCTTCAACTAACAGTAGTACAATTTCTGTCTGCACCCTGTTTGTCAACAGCAGCGCTGACGGTCTTTGTTAATCTGGCCCTCGACTGATCCAGTATGGTGTTGCTTAGATGAACTTGCATAATAGTTTTGGCAAAAGTGTTTTACTTCAGATGCCCTTCCTGACACAACCCTCACTATTTACCCGAACTTGGGATGGGCACAAGGGAGACACTGGCTTGTGCTCCCTAGTGTCTGGTTTCAGCATTTGGTATTTTACTAAATTCTATTAAAAAATAAATGTGAGTTTTCAAATCATTGCATTCTAATGACATTTAGGGGTTTTTTTTTTTACAACGCTCAAGCCTTTTTGGAATGGTGGTTAAAGATACACACGTCACCACTTTCTCTCCTAATAAAATGAGGCAGCACTTGTTGAATCTATTTACTGTTAATTGTGTCGCCTGTTTCTGTAGGAGCAGTTATGGTCTGCACTGAAAGCTGGACAGATTGACATGGTCGTGTCTGATCACTCTCCTTGCACCCCTGATCTTAAAAAACTGGACAGCGGCGACTTCACTCAGGCCTGGGGAGGGATTTCATCCTTACAATTTGGTACTGTCTCATGTAGTATGACAATATATGAGATAATATATGCATACAATATTCACGAGTTCCTCATCTTTCTGACTGTGTAATGTAGTGCATTGAATTTAACAGAAATGTAACGAGAGACGTTATTTATCTTTGACCCATCAAAATGAATGCGGCCATTTATTTTCAGAATCAAAGTTTAACATCAAACATTTACATTAATTTGGCAAAATATGAAAATAATAACAGACAAGTTTCACAGAAAATGAGCTTCAATCACGCGGCGGTGATTGAAGACTTTGCTTCAGATATTTCTAAAATATCTGTACTGATTTTAAGAGAAAGCAGAGTTTAAGATGAAGTGGAGATTTTTCTTACAGAGAGATATGTGAGGGAATTAATCTGTTATGACCAGAACGTGCACGCTCCATCAGATCTCAGCTTGCTTCCGGTACACTTTAGTCGAAGAAGAAACTGTTACCTGGTTGACGATGACTCAATGTCGATATAGAATCCTTCAGACTTTTCAGCGTCTCCGTTGAGAGCAGCTGAAATCCTTCGAGAGTCGTGCGTGGTGTTCAAACAGAAATTATAATTCCAAAACGTCTCTGGATCATCCTGAACGCGTCTGCATCCAAGAGCTCTAACTCCATCACTCTGTGCGCTCTCTAGTTGAACTCATTTCTGAGTGCAGCAACACAGCAACCAACAAACTCCAGCAACTCAGCGTCTCAGCTTCCTGCAACTCCTTCAACTTCTCATCTCCTTAACTCCTGCATGAACTGGGAAGTTGCCACATTTTAAATGGGTCGATTTCCGGTTCATTTGAGAGCTTTTGATTGGTCGATGGACCAGGAATAGAGGTGTGGTGTATGATGTAAGATGTTATTAAAAATCAAGGATTGTTTAGTAACGAACAGAAAGATTATTGTAGGACTTCAGACTTCGTGGAGTCTCACACTTATAATCTTCTGAAAAAGTTTAAACATGACATCTTTCTCGGTAAACATTTTAGTTGACCGAAAACCGACCTTTAACATACTTACATTGCAGACAGAAAAATCAAGAAATGCATATTAACCTGATTTCTTCTTTGAATGAGGAATAAAAATCATTACTTACTGTTTATGTAAAATAAAAATGAGTAGTTCTCTTCAACCTGTAAGCATTGAGTGAACTAACACAATTTGATTATCAAACATTTGTAAAACAGTGATGATTATAAAAATTGTCTTTTCTGCTTGATTAATTCAAGAAGGAAAGTCACCAGATGGCTCAAACTGTATTCAGATCAATGAAATAACAGTCTCTGTCCATCTGATAGATTTGAGGTCATCAGGGTCAGATCAGGGTCAGATCAGGTTCACTACACTCATACCATCTACTGTGACTAATCAATATTGAACTGATTTCTTTTCAAACGATACAAATTAACCAAGCAATTTGTCATTTAAAAGAATAACAATACAGGAAATAGTTAAAGCAACAAACCTTAAGATTATTACAAATTTTTGGAGAAGTGGTATTGTTTGAAAATATAAGACATCAACAACTGAGAAGCAACTTTTACTACCCATCAGTCTGGGAAGGTTCACACATGGCCACATCTGAAAAATCAATCAAGTAGTTAATTAAAGGCAAGAAAAGGGGATTGATTTTCAAATTTTAGTTAAATGTCTGCTCACCTGTCTGAATTATAACCATTTTTGTGTTTGCTAATGTTGAATTTTTTTTTAGCTGTGGTGACCATCCAATTATTATTCTTAGAGAGTTTGATCAAAATTCAGTGGTGTGTGAGATCTTTTGCTAACAGACAAATAATGTTGACTCTAACAGTTAATGTTCACAACGACGCTAAGTTTTAGATCAATGTCTGTAAAATGGACTGACTTACAGCTATTTTGTGTTTTTTCAGATCGGACAGCTTTGGTGCCCATCTTAAACTGGGTTGACTTCAAAAGTTAATCAGTTGTAGATGTAACTCGAATAATTATTTCATGAAAGTTTAAAAAATATGTAAATATGGTCATCTGAAAATGTAATGTATGGAAGCTTAAAGATTTTTTGAGGCAATACAAGGACTTTTTTTTTTTTAACCAAAAGTCTCAATATAAATTAACAGAGACAGTGGGTGTATTTATTTTAACTTTTGTCCCTCATTAAACCTTTTTGATAAATACATTTGGTGGGTAAATTTCGATGAACAGATGGCCATATTTGGATGTTAACACATTCATTCAGTCTTGCCCCAGTTGGATCAGTCAAAGGTCTATTTAGAGTGGTTAGATTATATCACCGTTATAAACTGACAAATGAACAAGTGCTACTCCAATAGCCTCACGTTTCTGAGGGATTTGTGAAGGTTTGTAGTTTTTGAGGTGAGTGTCTTTCTGCACTGGAAATGAACAGAGAATGAAGTAAACCTAAATGTTTTTAGTGCAAGATATTCAAGTGGGCAGGCGTTACACTGTGGAGGAGCGCAGAGGGAGTTTTATTTTTCTCTTCCAAGGCGTGACGGATCCTGGCGAGTGGAAGGAGCAAATTTATCCAACAGTAGGGGCAATGGAGGAGTTAGGGGGTGGTCAGTGGTGTCTTTGGCCACCATAGATCAATCTTTGGCCACCCCAATCATTTTAGAAAACTACTTTGAAGCAATATAAATACTAGAAGTTTTCTCAAATGATCTTTTTTTACGCCTATGGATGCAGCGGCACACAGAAATACAAGTCAGCACATTGCACATTAGCACTTCATGTTATCAGCTCACAAGGTTTACATTTATGACGACAGCCATCTTGGATTTTGATCTGGCAACCCAATTTCCAAAAGGAATCTTTTTTACGTCTTGATGTTTCCACACACCAACGTTATCATCCACACAACATGGATGAACTGACGGATAGAGAGTATTTCTAATTCCACCTCTTCATTCTGTGATGGGGGAACAAAAACTCTTGACTGGTATCATGTCACTTCCCTGTGAGCTCTGTGGTTTACTTATCTCATAATTTTTCAGGCCTACCTTTGTTCTGGAGTTCAGCCAGGAGGAGAGGTTTTCAGCTAGCTGACGTGGTTCGGCTCCTCAGCACAAAAACGGCCCAGCTGAGCAGTCTGGGCAACCAGAAGGGCAGCCTGGCCCCTGGCTTTGACGCCGACTTGGTCATATGGGACCCAGAGAGGGAGTTTGAGGTTTGTCTAAGACATTAAGAAACTATTTGTCAAGTGTCAAATCTTGTATTAGCTGTAGTTTCACTTTTATTTTAAATTCATTTACAGATTGAAGAAGCAAGCATATGCCATAAAAACAAGGTAGATCCCATCCTGAAGAAACATCTGGAGTTGTAACATCAATTTATCATGCCCTGATGTTTGTGTGACTGACTGAATGTGTGTTTTCAGCTGACTCCTTACCTTGGCTTCACGCTGCAGGGAGTGGTGCGAGCAACCATCTTGACGGGACGCTTGGTGTACAGAGACGGCTGTTTCTGCCCCGAGCCTCTGGGGAAACATCTGCTCATCTGCCAGAAGGACAAGTCCAGCCCGTAACAATAAAACACTTGAAAATATGCCAAGTGTGGAACATTTAATAAATGGAACTGAGTGATTGCTGAGTCAGCAGTTTTCCTATTTAGAGTTTCTTCAGCGCATTATTTGGACCTAAACTGTCTTTGCTGATTTTAAGCATTCAGTTATTAATGTTTAGCTCAGTTAGGAATAGTTTTGGGGTTTTTTGTAATTTTTATAATAATAAAAAAGAAATAACAATTTAAACGTATTTCCCAATGGAAGTACGTTGATGGCTTCAACTCTGTCAAAAACTTTGATCTCCTTGAAATCTGCTACAGCACACAGGCTCTGTTTTGTCTTCTTATGCTGCCTTTAGCTTTTAACTAATATTTTGCAACGTTTAGTTGACCTTCGGCTACTTCTACATTTTAGCTATCATTTTGCCACTTATCAGCTTTCAACTCTCATTTTTCTCCTTTTATCTTTTAAATATCTTTTACCTACTTTTAGTTTTTAACTACTGTTTTACTGTTTAGCTTTATTGCTAATTTTACCTTTTACTTACTGTTTGGCTATGTCTTTTTAGCTTTCAGCTATTTTTAAGCTATCTTTGACTTTTGTTGGGCTACTTAAAGCTTTTACTAATTTTTAATACTTGTGTGCTAAGTTTAGGATCACCCTGCTAGCTCAAACATCTTTCTTGCAAAGTTAGTCAATGGTTTTGGTCATTTTAACTTCAACATCTGTTTTGCTACTTTAAGCTTCTGTTTTATTAACTTTACCAACTTTATGATTATTTTAGATCTGTTTAGCTCATTTTAGCTTGTGTTTTGCAAATTTTAGCTTGTGTTTTGCTCATTTTAGCTTGTGTTTTGCTCATTTTAGCTTGCATTTAGCTCATTTTAGCTTGTGTTTTGCTCATCTTAACCTCTGCTCTTCTTGTTTTAGTTTTAGCTTCTTCCTCATAGTTCAGCAGAAACACTCAGTGCTCCTCTTTCACTCTGTATTTTTGCAGAGTTTTGTGTTTTACTTGTTTCTAAATACCTTTCAATCTAGTTTGAGCCATTTTTTCTTCATCAAACAATTAAAAAAATTCAGAACCTAAAAGTGCTGCATGCACATAGATTTAGGGTTGAATACCAAAATAAAAGTTCAAACTAAAGTTGAAGAAATTATTCAAAAACAATAAATCAATTGTTAATAAATAAATAAATAAAATCTTTCACTATTTTCCGTTTGAACTTTTGCTACGTGTGCCTTCTGAGTGTCTCTTGATAACGCTGTAAAGTTTTACTTTAGACGTCGATGTTATTTAAAAATGCATCCAGTCTTCTTGTTTCATGAAGAGTTCATCAAACTAACAGTTAATTCTGATACCACAGAGAGTAACTCTTTAATAATTAACTTCTGGGGACGTGCTTGTGACGTCTTATCATATAAAAGGAAAAAGTCCAAGTTATGTGAGCTCACTGAGCACACAGAGCAGCTGGTGTTGACAGAGGACAAGCCAGATAAAAACCACTGGGACATCATCTGAGTGGTCCGACAGAGGGGTGTGATTTGTCACTGACCACCTCCATCCACTTCTCTTTGTCAATTTTCTTTGCTCGGCACTCTGTAAAGAACATGTCCTTCGTCTCCATACCACCACCAGAATGCCTCAAAAAACGCCTAGTTGTCCCACACCGTTACATGTTTGGACCGGGACCTTCCAATGTTCCTCCTCGTATCTTGGAGGCCGGAGCTCAGCCCGTCATCGGACACATGCACCCGGAGATATTTGAGGTGGGTCAGTGGGTTTGCGATGGCTTAAAAAGTTATGACAATTGAGACATGATGCTCAACGGGTCTTTTAAGGTTGTAAAGTTTAATCCCACTGAACAACGAGACTTAAAATAGTACATGTCAAGATGTAGTGAATAAAAACTTTGAATTCACGAGAAACTCAGACAGCTTTTACTAAGCTGATAGGAGCTATAAAACAATAAAAAGGTTAAAGTCAGTTTAAAATACGCCTGCAGTCCATTGATCGATTGGAAAGAGAGAATATTTCAAACAGCTGCTTTTTTTTTTCCAAGCAGGATGTACTGGTGGGTTCAACAAACTAAACTGAGCACTCCTGATGCATGCTCAATAATCCAGGTAGAAA